GATTATTTGACGAAACGGTGTGGCGGAGAAGAAGAAAAAAGAAAAAGGCGTTTGGGAGTCCACGATTACACCTGCGATTCACGTACATATGGTTTCATAGTCTACACCTGATATACCATAACCTTTCATTACAGGCTTGAGATATTACTTGGATTTTGATCAGTGGGGGAAAAAGAACCCTACTAATGTACCGACAAACAACCATAGTCAAGATTAATTAACTGATTTATGCCTTCCTCCAGTCTTGTCAACTTCTAGTTCATGAATAGAAGAGTATACCAGAGTATACCAGAGTATACAATCCTAAATCCTACAATCCTACTCGAGAAGGCGGTGTGGTGATGGATCCCCCAGACAGTTCACGTCTATTGACATTCAATATCCAACATCCCCAATCTCAGATACACCATGTCGACAAACAGATTCATTCAATCTTTTACTCAAATTCCCAAGGAGCTTTTCCGTATGAAACTCCGGCACCTCCATTCGACTCCGGGCCCAGGCCGGCCCTATGCGACCGAAGAATCGCAGCTTCGATCTACTTACAACTGACGGGAAAGTCCAGCCGAAGGCTCTCAATCCAGCCTCTTATGAATGTAAGTTATTTATGGGCCCAAGATATCTCTCATCACTTATTAATATATCTAGAGCCGAACGGTGCTTCTATGCGCCCTAACACTGCGACACTGCAGAATCTTATAATATAGTTCAATTCAATTCAGATTCAATTCACTTTAGAAGTCCCTATACCTATATAACTAGTGAATCCTATATTATACGTATTATGATAGAAAGTTTCTTCCGTCTAAGAAGGGAGTAAGATCCGATTGCTATATACGATAATACTTTGATATAGTATTCATTTGTAAGATTGTCATATAAAATACTACGCTAGTTAATTGTGTACCAGTAAAAATTAGTGGAGGTGGGTGAATCTTTATAGGGTAGACTGTTGTAGACGGTAGAGCCCCTGAAATTGCGAACAAGAGGTTAGATGCTACACTAACTAGGTGCTAAGATAGGTGCTAAATTAGATGCTAAACTAGGTGCTAGCCTAGGTGCTAACCTAAGGCCATCGAGATCGCTAGCGTGTAGTAACGGCCAGAATTGGATTATAAAAGAGTAATATCTCGTCGCTATACCACTTATTTTTTTATATTAGATTAGAGGAGAGGAAGAGATAGAAAGTAGGCCTATACTACGTTTAGTAAATTAACCCATCGTCTTCTTATATATCTTCGCTCGGGGGTATAGAGGCTTAGAGTAAGCGACTATATAATAATCTAATTAAAAGTAATCAAAAGAGTTACTAGCTAACCGGGCTTATAAATATCGAACTTAGGAAGGGCAATATAGCTTGATACTAAATTCTTACGATGCAGAGCAAGTGGTGCTTACAAATGGACACCAATAAGTCCTGCTTACATACAAGAAGTTCAGTAATGACGGGACGGACATTCTGGTCGACATCACATGACTACCGGGAGAGGGATCCTAGAGCCATCCAAACTGGTAGTTGTACAGATACAACAGATACAGGAGGGGAGATGGTACAGTATGGTCCGATGTGAATGATGATAATTCAAGCCACCTACAACATACTAGATAGGTAACCGTAGATAGGAGCTAACCACTAGCTAAGGGGCTGAGGTCACATGACCTCCAAGCTACAACCGGAGAAGAAGATATTAAAGTTTCTTAGGTAACTATGGAGACGCCAATCATGTGACCAATGAGAGATCTTGAACACCACCTATCTCCTCGGCCAAACAATTTCGCGATATGTGCAGTTAACCAACTAATTTGAGGTTCTCTGACATAAAAGTTGCCCTGAGCTATAACGCCAAGTCCAATTTGCAAGATGGTGGGCTTTAGCAGCTGGGCGACAGTCATTGCCAATTTGCTGATTCCAGTGGGCATACTCACCTTCTCTTCAGGATTCTTCCCTTATAAACCGTTGATCCCTGGATTAGCGAATTTTGATGAAACAGGCGAGAATGTCACAGCACCTGCGGTCTTTGATAAAGTTATCTTCATGGTGGTAGATGCGCTAAGGAGGTATAATTCGAAACAATTCACCTCCGAGATATCCCCAGTAACTAACAAGGGTGTTCACTTATAGCGACTTTGTATATTCGAATGACTCGGGTTTCTTGTTTACACAGAGGTGAGTATGAGTATCACTTTCAAAACCCAATATTTAATTGTTTGAAATCAGGAACTGACTTGATACTAGCTTGATCCGGTCCGGTGCTGCACTGCCATTCACTGCATATGCGAGCGCTCCGACTGTTACAATGCCTCGATTAAAAGCCATTACAACTGGTTCAGTCCCGTCTTTCTTGGATGTTATTCTCAACATCGCAGAGTCAGATACCACATCAACACTGGCATACCAAGACACCTGGTTGGCGCAATTAAAGGCCATAGGAGGACGGCTTGTGATGTATGGGGACGACACCTGGCTCAAGCTCTTCCCGGGGATGTTTGACCGGGCTGATGGAACTACAAGCTTCTTCGTGTCGGTCAGTTGTACTTTAGGTGATTGTGTACCCGCAGTATTAGTATTGAAACTGAGATTATTCTCTCGCAGGACTTCACGGAAGTAGATCATAATGTGACTCGACACGTTCCAAACGAGCTTGCCCAGGATGACTGGTCTGCTTTGATCATGCATTACCTGGGTCTGGATCACATAGGACATAAGGCTGGCCCGAAAAGGTAAATACAGCTCCTTATCTTATTCTTCACCTGCTCTCTAATCTTCAACTCCTAGTCCTTTCATGATACCGAAACAGCATGAGATGGACTCCGTGGTGACTGAAATCTATACTGCAATGCAGCAACAAGACCATCTTCAATCCACACTGTTCGTGTTGTGCGGAGATCATGGCATGAATGAGGCTGGAAACCACGGCGGGTCCTCTGCTGGGGAAACCTCCCCCGCGTTGCTTTTCATGTCACCCAAGTTTGAAGCCTTGGGTGGCCGAAGAGAAAGCCCCGTGGAACCGTCAGACGATATGCAGTACTACCGGACGGTTGAGCAAGCGGACATTGCTCCAACCTTGGCGGGACTTCTTGGTATCCCAATTCCTTTAAACAGTCTTGGTGTATTCATTCCAGAACTTTTAAAGATGTGGGATCATGGTATGTGCTCTGTTCCTAACTGGCCAAGCGAAAACAACAACAACAACCTATTTTCTTTCTTTTCTTTCTTTTTTTTTTTTTTTTGATTCAGGAACTGACACGGAAACAGGTTCTCATAGACTTCAAATCTTATATCAAAATGCCGAGCAGCTGCTGAACACGCTGACAACTACATTCCCTGGGTCTACGTTTGGCCCCGATGGCACCACATCCTGCCCTTCAGGAGTTCTATCGGGTATTGAGGGAGCTCAATGTGCTTGGACTCGAGTCCAACAACTTCTCTCCACCAGGGATGAATCAGATGATCCTTACGCTACGGCTGATACCGCTTTGTTGCAGTTCTTAAGGATTGCACAGGAGGTCATGAGCCGTACTGCCAGTAACTACGATGTCTCTAAACTCACTCTCGGCCTGTTGATCACGGGGGTTGCAGGCCTGCTTGTACTTCCGGCCACATATAAGGAATGCACGCGTTACGGATCTTCCGGGATATTTTTGATGCTCATGATCATCACCTGTGGGATGATGATGTTTGCGAGTAGCTATGTGGAAGAAGAGCAACAGTTCTGGTATTGGATCTGCTCGGGATGGATTGTCTACCTGCATATCAAATCGCAATCGCAATCGCAATCATCTACAAGACCGATCTTACGCAACCGCTTTGGACCATTGATATATTGGTCTGACAAATGCATCATTCTTATGCTCGCAATCACCCAACGGCTCTTGCGACGGTGGAACCAAACGGGACAGAAATTCGCGGCCGAGCCTGATATTGCTCGCACCTTCTTTACACGCCATCCAGAAATCTTCTGGGGTCTTCTTATCCTCACGTACGTGGATGCTGGCCATCATCTTCTCAGGAGTATACCGATCACTGGAATATTGAAGCTCAGTGCCTTGGCCCCTGCCGTGTTGGCCTTTACGTTCAAATTGCACTTTGTGACTTCGGAATCCCCCGAACTCCTCGATGAGACGTTCATCTTGCAAATCATGAAGGAATGGCCCTACAGTCTATCATTGGTTTTACATGCCAGGCTTGTGTTTTATGGACTTGCTGTCGTTGTCCTGCTAGCGCTCGTTGGAAACCGATCAAGAGTTCCCCGAGGTAAGCCCACACATGCTCTCGATTGCCTCTTGGAGTTGGAGTCGTCACTAACAACAAATTTGTTTCTTTTTGTTTTTCTTTTTAGCACATGATACAATCCATGAAGCTCTGCACCTCTTCTTAATGACGCAGTCCCGTGCCACTAACGTCCCCCTGTTCCTGCTTTTCCGAATTCAGGCTGGCATTCTCTCTTCCATGAACCTCACAGGGATCGAAGTGACAATCACAACCTTGATCTTCCAATATATGACCTTCTTCGCGTTTGGTGGCTCTAATTCAATCTCCTCTGTGGACCTTGCTAGTGGATATAATGGTATTGATAGCTACAGCGTGGTGCTGGTAGGGATTCTCACCTTTGCGAGCAACTGGACAGGACCTATTTGGTGGGCTTCACAGAGCCATCGTCTCCGGCCGAAGAATCCAGACCAAAACCCCTCGGCACTATTGACCTTCCATGTTGCCATGTCCTTGGTTTCAGTTATGGCCGCCTGTACAGTCCTCCGGACGCATCTTTTCATCTGGACTGTTTTCTCTCCCAAATATCTCTACAGTATGGCGTGGGCCACTGCCAATCATGTTGCTGTCAATTTATTGGGCGAGGTTATTTTCTCTCGATCTCGTTCATAAAAACAATCTTTCTAGCCTTTGGAAAATACATGACTGGACATAAATCCCTTGCAATTCCGTAAAACACACAAAAACACACCCCCAAAAAGGATATTGTACATAAAAGGATATATAAGTTTCAAAATAAACCGCTAAACAAATCATCGATGGCGTTCTTGTTCTTCTTCTTCTTTTTCGTTTTGGAAACTTCTTGAAGTTTTTCCGTGGGCTTTTCTTTGGCTGAAGCCGTGGAATCCGACAGGGAAATCTTGACTGGGACAAGTGGCACAGTATCAATTCGATGAATGCGTTCCCCAAGATCTTCCTTTGCGACTGGAATAATCTTGGACTTCCTCACAGGTTGCATCTTCAGCTGATGACTGATCCCCGTGATTTTGGACAGTCGCGCCAATGCAGCTAGCAGTACGATTCCCAGGGTAGAGAATTGGTTATCGGCAACGACAGTTGAAAAAGCACTAAGAAAACAGTTAGTTTGCCTTCAACTTGATCCTCCCTTTGCTTTTTCTTTTCTTCATACATGTAACATCTGGGGATTATGGTGGCCAGGTGGGATATTACCCCCGATCGGGCGAAATCCAAGGTAGCGCGTTTCAAAATGGATAGCCATTTCCACCATTTGGTTCGACGATGCTGATTTTTGTTGCGATGAAAGATTAGATGTAATGTTGAATGAACTGCCAGGATTTCCTTGTCCATTTTGTTGTATATTAAGGAAGATGGAGGAAGATGAAGGAAGATGGAGAAAAGTCAAGGGGGTGTGGTTCGGGTTTCCGGGTTTTACTGTCTCTACAACATCGTACATCGTACATCGTACATCGTATTCATTCATATAATCCAAATATAATCGAAAGAAAATATTCCATTTGACTAATTTCCTATCTCCAACTTTTTTTGGGATTTTCTAGATTTTTTAGGGAAAAAAAAAAAAAAAAACAAAAGGCAAAAGCCAACGCGCATTGAAAAAACAAGAAAAGCAAAAAAAAAAAAAAGACTGCCAGGAACCGCAGAAACCGCAGAAAATGCAGAAACCGCAGACCAGAGGCTCGAGGTGAGGAAACGTAAGAAACGCAGCAGCGCCTTTGGATGGTTGCCAATGTTGGTTGTCGGTCACAAATAAGTGATCTCCGGTGAGATTGGGGGTTAGGATCGAAGCAGGCAACGCAGGAAACACAGGAGAGGTAGAGAATAGATGTGAGCATAAATGAACGAGTTTGACCGTGAATAACGAAAGAAAGGTTAGAGCGAACACCGCGCAGAAGCACAGTTCCGAAATGAGATGAATTTCTCTTCGGAATATGCAATACAAAGGCACATGTCATCAGCAGAGCAAGCAAAGACTGTGCCAGCTATTCTGAGAAACTGTAGATGCCTCTGATTCCCTCTGTGTGGTAGAGGAATATTTCATGCTGTTCTCAATGGGGATACCACACATAACCTACTTGGGATATTGCGAATGATATCCTCTCCTGTCTGGGGCAGATGGGATCAAACAAAGGGACGTAGAAAGACCCCATAAACCAAGGATGCGATGTTTCAGTATCCAGAGTTTTGGGGCTCTGTGAACGGCATTGTGGTGTTCATTCTTTGGGTATCTCGCGAGGTTGAGCTTTTTTTTTTTTCTCGGGTTTTTGGTCTTTTTGGGGGGGGAGGGGGATCTGATTCTGATTCACTCGTTTGAAAATAGATCTGGGTAATTGGGCTGGCGCATTGTTTCATGGATGACTGGGGGGCGTCGGACTGGAGTGGAAGGATCGGTTGAATATTTCGAAAATGATTCGCCATTCAACAGCTGCATATGTGTCACAGTGAAAGTGAAAGTCAAGAGCAAGAGAAATAGCAAGAGGAAGAGCAACTGATTTTCTTGTAGATGAGCTCATAAGGCTTAATTCCTCGGCGAGATGAATTGACGGTCCTCTGCCCGCATCGAAGAAAAGTCGCTAGGGACATGCTGCACCGATCGTCCACCAGAATGCCGGGGAGTGCGGATGGATCCTCGACCTCGTGGAGTCTGGCTGAAGGACTGCGATTGGGGTCGCGTACGGTTGGTGTGAGGCGTAGTGGGAGGTCGGGTTCGAGGTGCAAAGAGGCCTGTGGAAGGGTCAGAACATGCCCACAAGCCAGAGGGTAAGGCATCTTACTCTTCTTACCTTGCTGAGTAGTGCTAGCAACTGAACGACGGAGCTTACTGGCATCATTGGGACCGGGGAAGGCTGCTTCGGTGCCCGCGCGGGGGCCGTCGATATGGAAGAGCTATATATTCAGTCAATATCGGTACCGGAGTGGGACAAAAAAGAAAAGAAAAAAAAAGATTAAACTCACACGAGGTCGTTCTCCGGGAGGACGGGTCATAACGTTACTGTTTCGGAACCTGTTCACGAGAGCCTCCTTCCCTTGGAGTGCTATTGAAACTGGTTAGACATCATTCCAATTGGCCATGGATGGGATACAAACTGGCGTAAGAAATCTCAGTTCTCTTCTCGGAGATGCAGTCGGGCCTGTAATTGTCTCGAGTCAGCAAACGTGCAGTTTCCTGGGGAAGATGGGGAGGACCATACCAAGTCTTGCCCTGTCGAGAGTGCACGAGCTAATAGATACTGGTAAGTACATGTCACACACTGACCCATGATATAACTCACGTCGATAATGTCAATTGCCTATATATTATATTAGTAAAAAGATCAGACGAAAGGGACATATGAAAGTAGGGCTAGTAAAAACATGTGACGAAAGGGAACATGGGACGAAAGGGAACATGGGACGAAAGGAAACATGGGACGAAAGGAAACATGGGACGAAAGGAAACATGGGACGAAAAGGGACGAAAAGGGACGAAAGCAAACATGGGACGAAAGGAAACATGGGACGAAAGGAAACATGGGACGAAAAGGGACGAAAGCAAACATGGGACGAAAAGGGACATATGAAAGTAGGGCTAGCAAAAACATGTGACGAAAGGGAACATGGGATGAAAAGGGACATGGGACAAAAGTAGGGCTATCAAAAACACTCACATCTCCGAAGTTCATGAAAGCATAACCAACGCTAGAAGGACAAAGGGTAAGCAACATTGAAAGCCAACAATGAGCAATCAGAACTTACTTGCAATGATGGGTAAAATCTGTGGATCGAATTAGCCTGAACAGGAGAATAAATCGTGGAGAAGCACTTACCCATGCGTAGGTAGAGGAAGTCATACTTCCCATAGCTGGACTCGTCAATGATGCTCTTCAACTGATCCTATTGAATGATCAGATCGAATTCGCCATTGAATATTTTCATAAGAAGATGGAGATAAGCATACCGATGTTATCTTGTTAGGAATGTTGCGGATCATGACCTGTAACGAGGCAATATGTGAGAAATCGGGTCATGTAGCAGATAGGTGAAAACTTACAGTGCTGCGAACATCTAGTCCTTGCCTGATTCGGTCGAGATCAATGGCGTGTTCTGCGCTCGTCTGACCCTCCTCAAAGGCCGGGGAAACATCGACCTTCTCAACGTGTTCGTTCACCTTGGATACGTGGCGATACGGCGTAATGGGGCTCTGAGGGGAGCCAAAGCTGGTAGTTCGAATATGAGACAAAGCAGGAATCTCTTCCTGTGTATCAATAGAGACATTGAAACGAAAACCCTGCACGAACCCAATGTTAGCATTCCACTTTCAAGGAACATAAAAGCAAAAATGAAGGCGAAAGAAGAAAAAGAAAAAAAGATACTTCGAGCTTGAATCCACCGAGACATGAAAAAGCATAAGTCGCGTGACGCTTGTTGAAATATTCTACTTGGTATCGACCCATGTTTGTGCCGTTCTCAATAAGCTTGCAAGAACGCGGGGTCCCAAGAGAAGTGACGACCTGTCGAACAACATCCTCCATAGGTTCCGTGAGCCACTGGTTTTGGATGGTGTACACAGAAAGCAGGAATGCACCATCTTGATGAACAGAGGAAGAGGTATTAGCTCCGTTGGTTCCCTTAAAATTGGCAAGATCTTTGCAATTGGCAGGCATGACGCGCCATGCAGGACGAGTTTGGCGAATTTTGTTCATGGCGCGGATGGCCTCTCGAAGGTCACTAAACGAAAACGAGAATGCACCCTGGGTCTCAACTTGCTTGAGACAAACATCCTCAAGGGAGGGGTATTCGTCAATCTTAATAGAGTCAGCTTTGGTCTATCCCATGAGAAGGTTGGTATTGCGACTTACGGGAAGCATCATAACAATCGAGCGGTGGGCGGTGTCGACAGGGACATTTCGCACGATAAAGCTTCGATGCTTTTCAGTAACGTTATGAGTTCCACCGGAGAGGGGCTGCGAAGACAGGTTAGTTGTACCAGTGGAGCGACCAGCTTGGCTACCACGGGAAATATGGGTCAAGGCGTTGTTGGTAGAAACAGGGACATCTCGAACTGAATCCTGGGTGGTTGCGAGCAAGCTAGATAAGAAATCCGGGATCGGCTTGTATTCAAACGTGATATCTTCACGCGATGGGGAGTACCGAGCGTTGGCAATGCTTGACTGAACAGGAGAGAGCAGATACTGAGATGCTCCCAGACGTGCCTGAGTATTAGTCGAAGAACGAGGCGAGTATGCCATGTAATCCAGCGACCGAGATGTCTGGGCATGGGAAGGCGAGTATCGCATTCCACCAGGACCAGGGTTTGTGGGATGAGCTGAAGAAACTGGGGTTTGTCCGATGACAGTTTGAGATGTGTTGATTGTGCGAGCTAGCCGAGGCGAAACAGACGAGTACTGGTACTGAGTGTTTGCCTGGTCAAGGGTAGCGTGCGCTGGATAGGGGTAGCCAGAAGCAGAGCCTGCGGTAGTGGTTTGAGATGAAGGAACGCTAGACGCAGACCCTGTCTCATTGGACCAACCAGCAAACGGATCACTGTAACGCGCGTTGACCGTGTTAGCACTTTGATCGTCAATGTATAAAATAAAACAACAACTAGTATCTTACGCAGTTGGACGGATTGTCTCCATCCCAGGCAACGAAACAGGATTCCCTCGGTGACCAAGAGGGTCGTAGCCCATCGCATTGAATGCAGTAAGCTGCGCCGATGGCGATCCTCGAGCTGGAGAAGGCCTCTCCATGTTCAATCCTAATGAGAAGATGAGCGGGAAAGCGACAATCGTGTTGTAAGACAGTCCACATACAATGTAGCAAGTTGTCCGACTTAATAGGTAGGGTTCGCGCGATGTAGCCACAGATGAGCAATTGAAATTGTTGCGAGAGGGAAAAAAAAGGAGTGTTGACGAGGGGATACAAGTCACTTATGTACTTGTTAATTGTCCCAGGGCCAACAAATGGAGTCACTTGATCGTCGAACGGTGCAAACAAAGCAATTAAGAAACCGTTGGGGAGTGAGTCGTTGAGCATGCATCGCAGCATATATCTAGTCATTAGACAGGCTGGTTATAGAGTTCTCTGTCTGCCTTCAATCTCATAGTGTCTCCAATACGCTCTCATACTGAGTCTTATGGAATGACTTGCTGTGATCCTATGTCAGTGATACTATTATAGTAAAGGGTCATTATACAGACCAGACCCCCAATAGAGAATATAACAGCCATTGCATCCACCTTCAGCATGGTGGTGATCGCTGCTCTCTGTCTTACTGTATAACTAACAGTGTTTATCTGACGTACTGTTCCCACAGTCTCTGAGCTGGTGAGAAGATTGATGAAGTTGTGTTAGGAATGCTAAAAGAACAAGTAAGTTGGGACGTTGTGTATAAAAAAAGGTGTTAGAAATAATTACCTTGGAAGAGTGATGTCTCGCGCAGGTTCCAGGTTAGGTAGTATACACCTGGGCATGTGATATTGGCCAAAGTTTACGCTAGTGCAAAGTAGGATTAGCCTCGATTACCTAGGGAGGCCTCTCGAAAGCGGTCATGCATATTGGTGGCAGATGGAACATCTGACCGCCTGTGACGTTCAACTAGTTACCTAGGACCTATAAGGATAAGGTTGCAAGCCTAACAGGTGTGAAGTATTAAGACTGTTAGGATTTCATCTGGCTATGAGGCTAAGCCATTATGCCACCTATGGCTCCAATGCTCAATGAGCCACATGTCCTGAACCAAGTGAGCCAGCCTATACACGTTGGAGAGTCTACCCAAACAAACTGACTTCTTGTCCATAGATTATCATCTCACCCTCTGACACAGACTATCTTGATCAACTCATTCCCTCAATCAGAGATTACAGTGTTGAAAACCGCACTCCACAACTGCTGCAATCGCTGTCCCGGTTTGCGGGTGACAAGGAGTCCGAAATCGAAAGCATATGCAACACAAATCACCAGGAGTTTGTCTCATCAGTCAATTCACTGCTTCGGATTCGAGAGGGGACAGTGAGCTTGACAGCAGAGATTCTGGACTTGAACCAATCTATTCAAACCAGTACCCAACGCCTAGCCGAGCAGAAGAAAGCACTGGTGGAGTCGCGTGGCCACCGGCAAAACATCGATGAGACTAGTCGCGCCATTCAGGATTGCTTGGAGGTTCTGCGTCTAGCCAACCAGGTCCATGACCTCTTGGCAAAGAAGAACCACTATGCCGCGTTGCGCGCACTGGAGGAATTACAAAATGTCCATCTGAAGGGGGTGACGCAATACAAGATTGCAGTCATGATACAACGCTCAGTTCCAGCGACACAGAGAGCTATCGCGGAAGCAGTGATGTCAGATCTCAACACCTGGCTTTACCGCATCCGAGAAATGTCTCAATACCTCGGGGAAATTGCGCTCTTTCACACGGACCAACGGAAAACAAGACAAAAACAAAGAGCGGATAAAATCCCTTATTTAGAGCATTTCAATTTGAACTCGGCAATCGAATTGGTGTCTGATGAAGACGAAGAGTATGACCTGCTCCAGAATGAAGATCTTCAAGTTGACTTCACGCCGCTGTTCGAGTGCTTGCATATCCATCAATCTTTGGGACATATGGACAAATTCCGAATTGAATACGCGACCACCCGCCGAAGACAAAAGGAACTCTTGCTTCCGTCTTCTATCACTCTTGTTGATGAAGATGGTTCTAGTCTGCACAATCTTTTGGAAGAGATGGCCGGGTTTGCCATTGTTGAACGGGCCACCATGAAAAGAGCCCCTGATCTCAGGTCATCCGTCGATGTAAGTAACCGTATCCCCTTCCCTTTAGCCCCCTCAAGGAATTATCTGACCCATGCCTTTGAGTAGATCGACGAGCTATGGGATTCGATGTGCCAAGCGGCTGTAGTGCTGATATTGAAAGCACTTCATGAAGTTGATAACGCCGAAAGCATTCTCAACATCAAGAATCTGATTGCTCTATTTATGCAGACGATGAATGTGAGTAGGCCCGACTATATTATCTTGGCCTCAAATAGCTGATACCCATATTACAGACGTGGAACTTCCCCGTGCGGGTCTTTGATGACTTCTTGTTGACGCTCTTTGGCAAATATGCTGAACTTTTGAAGAAGAGATTCAGTGATGATTTCCAGGAGGTAGGGCTGTTTTCTCCCTATCAATCTATTTTAACTGCTGACACTACCAGATTGTATCAACGGATGATTATATGCCTATGCCCATACAGACTGAAGAGGAGCATGACAAGGTCCTCAATGTTAGCTGGTACAGCCCGGAACAACCTCGCGAGGAACAAGTGTAAGTTGGGAATCAGCCTGGGCCGATTGGTCCTTGTTTAGATGTAACTGATCATTTGGCTTAGGTTCCCATGCATATTACCATTTTCCCGAATGTATCCGTTGTGTTGCATTGATATCCGGAATTTCCTGAACCAGTTCTACTTTTTTGCAAATGATGGGTTCGCAAATACAAATGTGATTGATGAGACACTGAAGAATGTGAGCTTGAACCAACGTGTACGCTCAAACTCCATGACTTGACAACTAACCTAGCAGGATCTGGATGACCTCCTTTCGCAAAAAGTCTGTGACACTTTAGTGGAGCGCCTGTCCTCGCAATATCTAGGCCAAATCGTTCAGATTCTTATTAACTTGGAACACTTCGAGCTAGCTTGCCGCGAGCTGGAACTCTTATTGGCAGCAGCCCGATCACAGAACTCCACCGGCACCTCAATCGCGCTGAAGGCTACCGAGAAGTTCAAAAGCAACAAGAAAGCAGCTGAGAAGCGTATCTTCGAGGTCGTCAATTCCAAAATCGACGACCTTATCGAGACCGCAGAGTACGAGTGGATGTCCCCTACACCTCCCACAGAGCCAAGCAATTACATGCAAACCTTGACTCGATTCTTGTCCAACATCATGAACTCCACATTGTTGGGCCTGCCAACGGAAATCAAGGAGCTCATCTATTTCGATGCCCTTAGTCATGCTGCTAACATGATTCTGGTGAGATTTCTATGGACCCAATCTGTCGAAACAGAGACTTGCTGACTGACCATACAGGCGCAACCATTGTCCCCAGATGTGAAGAAAATCAATCCCAACGGAGTGGCAGCATTAGCAAAAGATGTTGAATATCTCGCCGAATTCGTGGACAGCTTAAACGTCCCAATTCTTCGCGAGAACCTCGACGAGTTACAGCAAACCGTGCAGTTGATGCAAGCGGACAGTGCAGACGAGTTTTACGATATTTCCACGAGGAACAAGAAATATGGACGAGTTGATGCCATGCAGGGGCCCATTTTGCTCGAAAAGTACAGTTCAAAATCTACAACCGCATTGCTGTGAACTACCTGCTAACTAGTTATGAATAGGCTCACACGCAGTATTCAAGCTCCCACCAAGGTGGATAAGTTTGCGACTCTTTCATCACGCTTTAAGAAGACTGGATAAATCTATAAGTGTGTTATGTGTAATGCAATGTTCAACTACAACAATGAAGTACCCCCTTGGGACCTATTGAGAGAGCGTAAGTACAGAAATACAGCTAGAAGCGTACCTTGCCATATCCAGAACTGGTCAAAAGGCCATATATGAAACAACTTTGGACGGCCTGAGGATGTCTCTTATCTCATGGATTGTAACCTCGGCTTACTCCAAGACCGGTACGGGATATAGGAACATATATGATACTACAATCAACAAAGCCAATCACACATAATCTTCATAACGTCACATGTGGTTTCCTCTTTTTCTAGCTAGGATCAAAACCCGTGCTAATATAAAAGGTTCCTGAAAGATCGGAAAAGATCGGAATCAGGAGTCACTCAATCACCACTTCTACAGCATTGACCTTGCCATGTGTGGGAAGAAAAAAAAAAAAAAAAGAATCAAATAAAAACAGTAAGAAAGAAAAAGGAAACGGACCAAAATTCGCCTGAAAACGCGCGTGAACTAAATTAAAATGACGGACTGGACCATGTGCTGATGACACATTCACTTGACGACCAAAATTAGCTTGTCTGCTAAAGATGAGACATTTGACAACTACGTACCTGCTGGGGAGGGAGATGCGGGTAGGCATACATCCCCTCGAACATTTGGGATTGAGGCTGACCATATGCTGCAGTTGGGTCTGACTGAACGGCTCCGGGGTACATGGCAGGTTGTGGGCGGTACTCCTGGTCCTGAGGCATACCGTGCTGGCCAAGGGAAGCGTAGTCGGCAGGGCCCATGTGCTGGTGCGGTTGAACTCCATGCGGGGCAGGGGGCAGCTGACCCGGGGCAGCAGATGGTCCCGGGGCAGTGCCGGCAGCTTGACTCGACCGCTTTGCATGAGAAGTTGCCTCCTCGCGGGGAACTATATCAATGAGGAAGTCAAACATGTCCGATTTGGACAGAGCCGCGGCAATGTCGGATCGCTGGAGGGTACGACGTTTGTTGTCCTCGGCGTGGATCCAGGCACGCATAGTCAGCTCGGTAATAAAAATATCACAGCCCTTAGCAAACAAGATGGGTGCCTCTGCAGATATCATCTTGACCTCCGGGTCCGCCTTCATCACCTTCTTGATACGGGCCAACGGTAACTGGTGGATCTTGTAGTCGTGGTTGTCTGATTCCAGGTGGTTGATGACATGCTGCCAGTAGGTCGTCAGGATATCACGCGCGGTTCCTTGAAGGCCTTGGTTTACCTAGTTCTGGTGAGTACTGGAGCTCGATATGTGTTTGGTCATCTCAGG